GTGCGCTCGCCGGGCCCCGGGGGCCCGCGCCCTCGCTCGGCGCTCGCTCACCCAGCTCTTGCCTTTCCCTTAAAGCTCAGCCGTCGATGGAAGAAGTGGGACCAAAGTGGCTATTAAGAAGTTGTACCGGCCGTTTCAGTCTGAGCTCTTTGCCAAACGAGCCTACCGAGAGCTGCGCCTCCTGAAGCACATGAAGCACGAGAACGTGAGTTGGGCTGTTTGCACATATCCCCCCCCCGCCCCCCAGGGCCACAGCCTGTGTGCCGTAAAATCAAAGAAAAGATGTGGTTTTGGACGGGGCAGATGTGTAGCTGAATGGAATTGAGGAATCTTTTGTGTTGTCTGTCATCTCTTCTTTATCTACAAATGTCAGCTCACACAAACTAGAATATCCTGTGGGAAACACCATTTCCATGGAGGAAGAGCTGGGTGGGGAAGGTTAACACCGTGGTGGAATTTGCACTCAGAGCTAGTGAGAGAGATTAAGGACCAGAAATTACAATCTCCATCACTACCTTCCTGAGAGGTGCAGAGGAGTGCAGACCACAAGTCTGAGCCTGCATGTGTCAGGTGCCAGCATCTCTTTTTTTCTGTTCTTGCATGAAGATGGCTGTGGTACACAGGCATATCTTGGGGCAGGGGAAAGGGTTTTCCTTTTTGTTTTTAAATCGTTCATGAAGCATTTGAAAGTTCTGGGCTTGTACTAATGTGAAATGGCAGAAGTTCAGTAACAACTAAATTGCTTTACTGGGAAGCAGAGAATAGAATACAGAGCTTTGCATGGATTCCCATGTAATGTGAAAGAACAGCTGTAGAAGAGGTCATTGAGATAGATACTTAGTCCCAGCAGTACCTAGTGGTTTAAGAAAAAAATACAAGGAGGAGAGATTTGTGTGAAAACAGTTATTGTGGAATCAAAGCACGGACTCCAGGTGAGGAGGGTCCCAAAGGTGGGCTTGGAGGATCACAGCAGTGACTTTAAATGCTGTTAGTCATGAATGCATGTGGAAAAAAAAATAGAGTTTGGAGAAAGATAAGTGATGCCTAAGAATCTGGTTAAAATGTTAATAATATGGGAGATGAGAGCACAGCTCCATTTAAATGGCCTTCAAGGGAAGCTAAGAGATTAAAAGTGAGGATAAGAGAAACTGGTAATAACAATACCCAGTCATTGCCATTTAACATTGTGGTATCAACACTGTGAGTACCAAAAATATCCAGGTTCATTTTGAAGAATAACCCTTGGGTTATCCTGACTGTCCAGAAAAAAAACAGACCTTTTTGTAGGCTTAGGAACCTCTGTGCCTTTTAACATTTTAATGTGAATCTTTTAATACACTTCATCGTTTTACTTGATGATTCCCTTGCAGTAACTGCTTCATAAGCACTGCTGTATATGTTAAAGAGTTAACATTTGCAGGGAATTTCTCTGTTGTGCATGGGCTTTCATACTCTCAGCATTTTCTTTACTGAACATTTGGGAGCAGAGCAGTTGTGCCATTGCCAAACTCCAAACCGTGTCCAGAATTTTGAGATTATTTTTCTCCCATTTCCCAGAATAATTTGTTGGGTAGCATTTTCCACTCCTGGTGGTTTTTATGTGGTGTATGCTCTTCAGGATAATACTCTGCTACCCCTCCATGGACTCATTTGATTATTATAGAGTCTTGAATAAGATGCTCACTGGGAAACGTGAGCAGAATCTGTAAAAGTTGCAAACCAATATATGTGAAGGAAGGGAGTACTTTACAGTCTAGGAAAGAGTTTGGGCCACACAAAGAAGAATCTGGTCTGTGTACCAAGGAGAAATTCTACCATTAGTTATGCTTTCTACTAATTAGAGAGCAAAGACTGAATTAATGATCCTGGAGGGATTCATGGGCACCTCAGGGGCAGCATTTGACTACTCCACCCATCTGCACAGAGGCTGACACAGCAGTACAGCCCATCAAGAGAATTTCCATCCACCAGCCTCACACCTTTCTGTCAGTCTTTTCACCCACTGTGAATTACAAATAGCAACAACGCCCTTTAGGATTTCTAGTCCCTGTGCTGATAGCAGGATACTCCTTTAGGCACTCTACTCGTAAAAAATGAAACCCGAGTGGCAGTCATCACTTCTCATCGGGATTTTCAGCCCCTCATTTGACCCACCACCATTCTGTCAAAGAGCCTCTTTTTTTCCTACTTCCATGAAAGGATGGATTTACAGGCAGACAGTAAGGGCTTTCCTGTTCACATCAGCAGTCCACAGTGCACTGTGCACACCTTTAAAGATCTGTACAGTAGTGGCAGGACAGCTGCCTGTCTTCCCTTGTTACATCAGGTCCTCCATGGGTCCAGCTGTGGAGTTCTGGATGGACCCCACTCAGGTGGGTGCATATCTCCTTAGAAACAGGGAATTAGTCAAACAGAAGAGTTATTGAAGTATCTTTCCTGATTTTTCTGTTAACTAATATGTTATAATGTACTTCTGTAAAATAGCAGTTGTCTATCTGGCTGTACTAATGCAGCTGCTATTAAAAATTAACAAAACTGAAGTAATTGTTTCAGAGACCATAATGAAATAGGGAGGCCATTGTTATCTATGTCTTGGGTGTTGATAATCTAAGTATGTAAAGGATATGGTGTGTGATAGCTGGTCTAATAGTATTGCCACTGTAGGTAAGACTTGGGATATTGTTGCAACATTGCAATAATCTGCCAGTACAAATCTTCTTCTTGCTTTTTTCTTCCTACAAGTTATAAATTATTTCAAGGGTCTGTTCATTTGATGATTAAAATTACATCCAATTCACCCCTCTGATCTGTTTTTCTTTCAAAATTACTTTTGTAATCAGGATACATTTGATGTCGGATTAGAGGAAGAATGTGATGTTTTGTTTGTTTCATCATAATTACCTCTTGATGGAGCATCTCTGTCCTCCATAGCTTTCAGGGAAGTGTTGTGTTAAGCATGTAGCAATACATTATCACAGATTGCTTAACCTTCTGCTGTACTCAGAGTGACAGAAGAAATTGCAATAATGTGATCACGTTAAAAATATAATCTCCAATCCTCTTCTAAGGTACCATTAAACCCATGCCACAGTGATATAATTCATTAGCATGTCATGCTTCAGTGAAGGAAATGCAGGAAAAACCTCTGCTTAATACCCTTTATGACTTTCATTATAGACCCTTTGAGGAATATGCTCATCTGTTTAATGTGGAAGGGTTGTAGGATGACCAGGAGTCCTGTAAAAACAAATTTAGGAGTATTCCTACTGAATTTTACTGGAACTGTATTTTACTTTGTAAGAAAGCTAACTCATGGGTCGATTTGTTTGCCTATTTAGGCATTTTCAGGAGGCAACTCTGGTTGCTAACCTGACCATCTTTCATTATATATGCTAGGCTTTTGTTCTCCCTAATGGCTTTTACTCAGGACTTTACTTAAATATAGTGTGTAGTATTTCTGTATAAACCATGCAAACCTGATAGCATGGGGCTTCTCATCTACCCTTTGCAAACAAACCCAGATGAGAAATGGTGTTGAGGACTGTGGGGCAGAGGCTGTGTATGAGGACGAGACCTGGCTGTTAGGAAATAAATCTCTGTCTTTAATGGTAGGCCTTTTAATATGAGAGGGTCTGGGATGTTTCAGAAACATCATAAGCTACCTCTACTGCCTAAGAAGCAGTCTAACCCAGATCAATTCCTCAGATATTGCCAAAAAGAAAAGTTAGTTTCCAGAAGGATGAGCTGCAGGATTACTCTGTAGCTGCATAAACAGATATTCTGGCACGAGAGGAAATGGTGTGAAAATAAGGAATAAAACCAGCTAAGGCAGAATGAAGAAAGTACCGTTTTGGCAGTTGGTTTTGTCTTCATTTATTCATACTAGCTTGAAGTATTCATCCCACTACAGCCTTAGCTCTGGATTATTTCTTTGGCATCTGCTGCATCTTGTAGAGAAGAACAGACTATTTACCTTTAGGAAGTTTTTTTCAGCAATTCTGCTTTTGTTCTCTGTTTCTTTCCATTTTGAGTTCAATCAAAGTGAGGACCTTTAAAACTCTTATGTGTCTGACTTAAAGCCAGAACCAGTGAAAATGTGGCCAGTGTGCTGGCTTTGTTTCTCAAACATTTGTATGGCTCTGCATTCATGTATTCTTCTGAGGTTAATGGAAATGTCCATGTATGCAAAGCTAAACACAGACGAGTAAGCAGAGGTGCAGAACTGTTTGTTTCATTTGGCAAATAATTTGGATTTTTTAATGCATTTGGACTTGAAGTGATACCACTGTACCCACTTTTGCTGAAACAACTGCATAGTGACTTGTACTGGTCCAGTATCGGTGGCCTTCTCACCTCCTGGTTTGCTAACAAAAGTTTTGAAGTTGCCAGCAGGAGTGCAAAGTGAGGAGAGATGGCACTGGAGAGGGAGAGGAAAGCAGCAGCTCGTGCTGAGGATTTGTGTCAGAACAGAGTATGTGTTGTATCAGTGTGTGGTACACCTGTGTGTGTACATGTGTGTATACCTGTGTAAACATATAAGCACACGTGGGAATTCTGATGCGATTCTACCAACTTATATTCTGAATGTTTCTGGCACACAGTTCTTGACAAATGCCCGTTAAATGTTATTTGGTTCAGTTAATATTCTGCAGATGTTTTCCCTTCCTGGAAACCCTGTATGTAGGAGGCAATGGCAGTATTTGTTTAAAGGTGCTCTACATTATGCTCTCATTCATTGCTCTGAGTGGAAATTATTCCATGGTGTATTCCTACATCTGAAGACCACTGTGTGTTTTGCGTTATGAGAACCATGTAGTGTTTTTTTCCTCTTGTCAAAGAAACTTGGGTATCCAACAGACACCAAATAGTCTGTCTCTCTGCAGTTATGTTTCTGAGGATGACACAGGCCTTCACTTTTAGGTTAGCTCATATATAATTATTTTGTCTTGTTTGTTTAGAAAAAATGTTGGGCTTTTTATTTATGACTACACAGTATCAACCAAGAGAGGAGTTTGTTCCAGAGAAAATAGTGGCACATGCTGTGTTTCTGCCTGAGAAAATCTTAGAACCTTTTGCAGTTCATCTAGCCTGACATGAGCGTTGGAAGAGCAACAGCCTGAGTACAAAATCAGACCAAGAAGGGAGTTGTAGATGAATGATGCCTTCACAGATGAAAGTGTGTTCACTGTGTTAGAAGAGGTTTCCTGCAGTAAGTCCTGCAGGACAGCACCAGCTAAAAATTCACATCCTTTGGGTACACAAATGCCAGTCAAGTGCAATTTGGGAATCCCGGCTGGCAACAGCAAATATCCTTATAGGTCCTTATGGAAACAAAAATACAATTATAGCAGGATAGTTTATTACTTTCAAAAGGTTGTAGGGGAGAAAAACTCCTGGCTGCTTTTCTGTGGTCTGAAAGCTTAGCACATCTAGGGAGCTAACAGGTCACCAGAGTAATTTATTTTGATACTCAAAACCCAGTAAATCAACATAGTGGTATCAGTTGTCACTTCTCCTTGTTTTCACAAACCTGCCTAATAGGTGTTTTCCCTAGGCTGGACTTCAGCCAAGAGCTATTTATTTACACCCTAGCCTTAGGTACTAATAAAGCAGACTAATTAGCCCAGAGCAGTATATTAAAATAAGACAACACTGAAAACCAAAGCTTCTCTTTGGATTGCCATCCAATCCAGAGATGAAGATGAGTCTGTCCACAAGATTTGGATCTGTCCAGTGTTACACAGGAGTCATTTGAAAGAAAAATGTGGTTTTGGCTCCTGCCTGCCAGTGTGCTGACTGGCAGGAGAAAAGGCAAGGAGCCTTCTCATGAGGCATCCCTCATGTCAGGTAGCAGTAATTGGTGAGGCAGAAAGGTGACTGTGCTGCAAGCCTGGTGTGTGGATAGTTGAAATTTTAAAAAGACTGAGACTACCTAGCGTGGTAAAAGGCTGCAAGTGCCATGTGATGTGGTACAGCACAGAAACATGGAGTTGAAGCTAACCCTGCAGAAATTAAATGCACCATATTATGTAGTTCAGCACACCCCAGCAGAGATCTCTCTTAAAAAATATACTTGCATTAGTTGCCCTAGTGCCAAAGCCACTCAACTTCGCTGTGTTCTCATGCGTAATATCTGCCAGAGAAAGGAGCACTCGCTGTGTAAGAGACATAACCTACATGACTTATTAATTTGTACAATAGCTGAGTCTTTCGTTGATGTGCTGCTGCCTACATCAGAAACTTTTCTTTGCAGAAATGCAGTGGAACAGTCCTGAATAAAGGTAATTCTAAAGGTACATGAAAATGCAAGGGAGACTAGATATGCTGTTGTGCACCAATGCTGGAATAGTGTTTGGAAAAGGAGGCAGCTGAGAAGGGCAGAAACCACTTTACCAAAACAAAACTGTTATTTTATTGACAGTAGTTAAAGATGGTCAGGGTGATCAGTATAAATGTCTTGGAGGGGGGGAAAAGAGACAGTAGGGATAAGAAAGGCTGGAGACAGTGCCACCCACTCCCACTGGCTTCATAGGGAACTTGGACACTCCCTTTAAGTAGCATAACTTTTTTTTTTTTTTTTTTTTTTTTTCTTTTTTTTCTTTTACAATTATTGTATTTAATTGAAAACATTTTAGACAGACATGGGATTTTCAATGATATTATGGAGGAGGGAGTTTCCTACATTTGTCCAGTTCTTTTCCTTTTCCTGTAAAAATAGCTGAAACTGTATCTTCCTTGGAGGATTTATTTTATCCTGTACCTCTTGGGCTTAACATATCTGCGGAAAGATGTGACCTAAATGGAAATTCTAATGATTCTTTTCCACTACAGGAAAACCATTCCAAAGCACAGCTATTAAATAAAGATCACTGAGGAAAACAAAATGAGTCCCTCACTTTTATTTTTAAATTCATTAACTATTAGTATGTCTTACCACTTTGGACGCTAAAATGGATTTCAGGATTTTTAGAAAGCTGAAGTAAGAAGACGGGAACTGTTGCAAAATCCTTAGCATGCTAAAAATAGTTTTCTGGTTTATTATTTACAGTTCCCTTTAACAGGAGCTGTGTTGGTCTCAGTGATATTCTTCAACACAGAAGCTTTGCAGCTATAATAAGTACGTCTCCATCACTTTGCAACTTTACCTCAGAAGTAATGTATATTGTATATCAGGCAGCATTAAGTAACTTCTGGGACCTCTGGTTAGTTGAATGGAGAAGTAGCAAAATGTTAGTGAACTTCATCAAGTGTGTTTTTGTGTTTTTTGGGCTGATATTGGGTTTCTTTATGGAAACATGTTCTTCATGGTCCTATGTGTTTGGGTGGGTGCCTGGTAACGCCTTGGTGCCCCGAGGGTGCGGTACCCCCACCACACTGTTTTGGCCTCTGTCCCTTCTTCTTATGGTGGTGTCTCTGTGTCTTTTGCTGCTACATTCGGATGTGACAGGCTTTATTTTCTTAAGTTTCTTGCTTAGGTAAATGAAGGCATGGAAATACCTCCTTGAGGAGAACAAGCAGGACT